CCTTGTTGGCGAGGAACAAATTAGTCAAGGCTTGAAAAGCAACATACTCTCAAGTTTAGCTTGATCTTTTTAAATTTGAAAATCATATACAAAATTTGTAGTGCAAATTTATACAAGTTACTAAGCCAAAATTTTTCACTTTACCCCCTAACTCATTTTTTTTTAGTCTCACTTTATCCCTTGGTGGACGAAATTACTCCTCCATTATTTTAATTTCCTTTTTTTCCCTTTTGTATTTTTTTCTTTCCCCTTATTCCCTCTATTTTCTTTATCTCTTTCTTATTTCTTTACTTCTCTATTTTTCCCATAAGAAACTTCATTTTAGCAATTGAAGCTAAAAAAGAGCAATTGTGGATATCTATCTTCTTGTCAAATGATCACAAAATATTCAAACCCTATTCCCAAAATACCATTTTTTGACCTCTGAATTCTTTTTCTTTTTCCCCTTACCATCCCAGTTTCATATTTTATTCTCAGGAAAACATCACAAGATAAATTTGTGACATAATTAATGATCATTAATTGGAATTTGCAAACATGGCATCGTAGAAAAGATCGAAATTAGATTTTGATACCTTTCAAAATTGCACCCATAAACTCAATTACAATCTTCATATAAATTTTTTCTTTTGAGATGAATTTTTTTGTTAAGAAGGATGGACGAGAGAAGAAAGAAGAAAGAGAAAAAGAAATAAAGGAGGGGAAGAAGGGGAAAGAAAAAGATAAATGAAAAATCAAAATAATGGAAGGGTAATTTTTTCCTATAGGGACTTAAGTGATAAAAATTAAAGGTTAGAGGATAAAATAATAAATGTGATACATTTCAAGGGGATTAATTGTAATTAACCCGTTACTTGATGTAGGGTAGCTAAATGAGTAGAATCAATGTCCTCTACTATTTACGTAGGGTGACCTTTCGTCTTATTTTATATGTGGAGAGTGTGTTTGGATATCAAGAATTTCAAAAAAAAAAAATTCAGATTTTGTTTTACTTATATCATACACACAATTTTCAACCACTTTTTTATTTCACATACATCACATTACAAATAGTACTACAGTAATTATTTCAAATAAATATTTCAAATAACCTCCTATCCAAATAACCTCAATGTTTATCAGAGTGTAACAAATTTAAATTTGTCTTTAACACAATTTACAATTGTCACCAATTTGTGGCAAATTTCAAGTAAAAAAACTCTATTATGCCACAGCATAAATTGTTATCGGTTTTGTTTACACTTTCTAGAAAAGTTTTCCAAATCATCTTGAATATATGTGACCAAGGAGAACAATAGGACTCTTGGCAATTCAACAAAGACAACAACAAATCAAATAAAACAAATAAAAAGACACAAAATTTATGTGGTTCGATCGAATTGTCTTGTGTTCACGCAAGAACAAAAAGAGAAATATTATTTACACTGCATCTTTTATTATTTATATTTTCACCATTTTTTTTATTATAATATAGTCCAATAAATAAAAATTATATGATTAAAATGATAGTGAAAGTTTGATTAACAAAAGTAGAAGTGCAAATAACATTTCTCTCTGAGAATTTACTCGAGCTTTTCTCCCTAAGATGAGAGTTTTATCCTTTTGAAAAACTTTCAATATTTCAAACATTACAAATCCAAAAAGCCAAATGCAAAGTTCAAAATCAAAATCCCTATTGATCCAAGACAACTTCATTAAACTACTACCTTGTCATAATAGTTTCGATCACTACTTCATCTGCATTCTTGTCGTAATTTCAAAGGCTTCTAATCCCTGTTCCAATTATTTTAACTCTTATTAGTGACTTGTTTTTGTGTCTGTTTTCCTCTATTGTGTGTTGGTTAGGTGTAGGTCAACTATTTGTTGTTTTGCCTACCAGGTGCTTAGCATTAAGTATTAACTGAGAAATCTATTCCTATTTCCCTTTCACTACAAGTTTATTAAATTTGGGCTGTCTCACCTGGGTGCCAGATTAAGGGATCCTCTACTGTCTCACTGAATCCAGAAGAACTGGCAGATATAATGCAAAAATACAGTGAACAAACAATAAAGGTGAGCTTCACACAATCAACGAAACAAGAAATCAGCAGCATCAAGAAGCAAATGGTAGAAAAATATCTTATTAGATGGCCTCTGCAGGCTTCTCAGATTCAGCTTCGCACATAGCAAGAAAATGCTCTTAAAGCCTGTTGGTTTCAGTAGTAAAAGGAGATACAGGAAGCGGTTCCTGAATATCCATTCAAGTTACAAATAGTTTACATTGATTCCATGATTCAAATGACTGGGCCATGATTTAATGAGAAGACTGGGTTACTACAAGTCTATTAGCCTGAGGATAATGCACAAGAATTCGACCCCTCCACCAGCACTTTCCCACCCTTTCTGCATCATAGAGTTTAATGTGTATAAAAGTTTCTACAGCTAGAAAAATGTAGAAACGGTTACAATAACCATCGATCCTTGTTCGCTGGTTTCGTCTAAATGCTGGATAACTAGATCATGTCATGCAGATGTTCTTATCAAAACCCCATATACTCACCGTGGACATTTATTAAGCCCATAAACCCCACGCTTCCAATTGCCTCTGAAAAGAAACCAGAAAATGAATGGGGACAGCAAAATCTACCCTCAACACTAAGGCTATTGGCTACGACTAATGTTGCCGGTGGAGGCTAGTTGGGGTGGAGAAAATTTTGAGGTTCGCTTTGGTGCAGAATTTGTGCCCATGGAGACAGTAAATTCCGCCTTCAAGATTGAGTGTAGGAGGCTGCAGAGACAGCTTCATCATCGATAAGAAAAAGCTTTTTGTGAGGAAAACAACCAGCCACAACCAATTAGCTTCCGAAAATCAAAATATGACCAAACTATGGCGTGCTTTACATGATGCTAATGTAAATGTATGAGATGGTACGCTTTTTCTTTGGCTATTTTTAAATTTTATTGAAAGATAAAAAATAATTCTTTAAAAATCATGATCCAAACACAAATAAAAAAATTTGTTTGTATTATGAAAGATTATCAGATGGGTTTACAGAGATTTAAATTTTATTGTTGGAGGGAAGAAAAATAATGTATGAAGACCATGAGAAAAAGATTGCAAAATTTCGTTTCCATCCTAGATGTAGCAGTATCAAAACCTGTAAATGGCGCTAATCAATTAGTCTTTGCTGTTTTTGTCAAAATTTTAAACTAGTGCAGAATCCTTCTTTATATAAATATATATATATATTTTAAACAGTATACGTGAAATATTAGAAGTTGTGTTTTCTTATCAGCATTATTTTTATTTACCCTTGCGGAAAAATGTACGTGCACTATTTGCAATTAACTAGTCTCAAAATACATATGTTGCAAGTTAGTTACGAATTAAGGGAATGTCAATATGTATTTTAAAATTAAAGGAGAATCAGTGAGAATTTTGCAAGAGTGAGGTTGGATCCTGTGAGCACCTCTCATTTGCATTTCGTGGACATACGCATGATCTGCTGTGCACACTCCTTGAAGAAATCTTTCAAAGGTAATGCTTATGGATTGGCTTTGGCTGCATTAATATATCATATATTATTGGAGTATTTTTAATAAAAAATACAAAAAATTCTAAAAATGATTTAATCAGTTTTTTAGTTACAATTGTTCTCCAAAAATGTGTAATTTATGTGTAATAATAATAATAATAATAATGTTGGAGTATTTTAATAAAAATGCAAAAAATCCTAAAAGTAAATTTAGTGAGTTGTTCAACTACAATTATTCTCCATAAATGTATAACTTAAGTAAGTAGTAACCTCTACAACGGACATAACGACTAAAAAACCCCTCTGCAATGCACATGTATAAATAGATAGATGGGTTTTATTTTAAATCAATAGGAGGTATTTTGGCTTAAGTTTGCCATGGGTTTTTAATAGTTATTCAAATTTAACAAATATGTTTTTTTAATTACCAAATTTGCTGTGCTAGGATATTCATGTAAGTTGGCTTATTCTAAGTGAAAATCTAAAGGAGTTTCAACTGTGGTATAAGTTTTGCTTTTACCACACCTATACATAAGTATGCTTATATAAGTATCTAGCCTCCAACTGAGAATGAGGACCAACAAAAACAAGAGAGGTAAAAAAAATTTAGAACAAGCTTTCTATATATGTTTGTACAAAAATTAGTCAAATGGTTTGATTAAATTTTTTTGAGTTTCATATTTTCCCCGTTGATATAAATGTAGGATATCTATACTTAACCGTGCATTTGAGGAAAGAAATGACACAAGACCATAACCTATAGTTGTTGTTCTGGCAAAAGATTGTGAAATCCTAACTACACAAGTTTCAATTTGAGTTGGATGCACACATTTTGATTGGCATTGGAGTGTGAGTTTCCATTATTTGATTTCCTTAGGGTAATGATTACCTAAGAATTTAAGATGGGTTATATCTCAGTATAATTGATTAAAGGCATTGCTGATGATCGGGCTCAATAATTGTGCTTTGAACCAAGAATATGTATCAAAGACTAATTTACGAAGAAAAAATTGAATCCAAGTCCAAACAAATAAAAAGACCTTTTACTTGAAATTTAAATTCAAAGAAACATATAAAAAATATGGACTTTTTTCTCATTCACTTTATCAATTTTCAAAAAACAAAAAACACTATTAAGAGTTACAAGAAACGAGATATGCGACGTGCGGCAGGTTGTATTGAAAGAGAACCAGACACAAAATTATGAGAAGGGCCATTTCTTCCCCTCTCATTATCTCATCCAAAAAAGATCACTTGCACAAGCCAACTTAAAACTCATATGCATACCTTGATAATGAAGTGTAACTTGGTAAGACATTTTACTTGTAACTGATTGGTCACAGGTTCAAGTAATTAAGGGGAGCCACAGGTGGAAATCAATAAGGAGATAAGTCGGAAACTTCTAATCTACTATTAATGCTCTTTAAGTAATAATTAATAAAAAAAAACTCATTTGCACACCAGCACAAAAAGCACATAACCTGGTAGCAAGTATGCATTCAACGAACACACGGAAAACACAAGATGAGTGTAAGAAGATTCATATTCGAATAAAGCATTAACGAGGAGATTAAAGTTTTCCCTTAGCTAGATAATTTGTTTCCTTATTCTTTTTGAGAGTTCAACCTCTTTGGAACAAGCAATAGGTGTAGGAAGAAGCACCACCAGTTGCAGCCTGAACGGGCACCTTGGATTTACACTTAGCGTTTCATTTGGTAGAAATGCTTGGCCAAAAACCGAACACCGTCGTCAGAATCAGATCCCATAGTATTCATCACTTGCTGCTGAGGTGGGCTAATGAGCCGAGTGTTGCCTGCAAAAAATGGCTTAGTTATTGGCAATAAATGGTTGAATTTCCAATAAAATAGGAAAGAAAGGAAAGGGAAAGGAAAAGTACCTTTGACCAACATTTTCTCTCTGCCAGTTCCTGCACTCTGTACAATGTTAAAATTAGAGTTAGCTAAGAAGCCAAGGAAAATATTTTCAACACTAATCGACTTGGTTTGGTCCCATGTACATAGCCCACCAGTGTTGGAATTGTTCGGCAGCCAAAGAAGTGGATTCAAAAGCAATATATCCAAAAGAGGTCTCTTAACAAATTGCTCAACTATGTGATCAATTCTTTAACATACATTGACGAGAATATACATTTCTATCCTTGGTGAATCGAGCAACAACTTTTTTGCCTTCTTCTTTTAGTAAAGAATTGGTACAGAGGCTTAATGACTCCATAAATCTCTACCTTATGATAAAAAAATCTGCATTAATGATGTGATTATAAGTTCTTTTCTTACATTTGATCGTGCATTAATGATGTGATTATAAGTTCTTTTCTTACATTTGATCGAGTGCATCAAGCATTAGACAAAAACAACTAAAGAACTTCCATATAACAGTTGAGTTATCATCACAAGTTTGGTTTTGCCTTTGATTTGAATCCCTTTATTTCGGATTTTTATCTTTAAATCTTTCTTTTTTCACTACGCACAAAGATTGCAGGTGGACGTAATAGGCTTGTTTTAACGTGGTTTCTGTAGCATCATGACCAAGCCATTTTAAGCAAGAAACCAAGGCTCTATTTGTTACTAGAATGAATATTCCCCACAAGATCCTTATCAGGATAAAGCATAGATTTTATTGGAATAGAGGTATACCTCAGAAGATTCAGTGGCTAATTCTTTTGAGAGTTCAACCTCTTTGGAAGCTTTTACTTCTATTGCAGTGCAACTGGTATCGGAAGAAACACCACCAACCACATTCAAAGTGGGTTGTCTGGATTTATCCTCATCCTTTGATTCAACAGAAGAAACAGTCGATACTGGAACAGCATGATCAGAATTTGATCCAAAAGCAGTTATTTCTTGATGCGGAGGTGGGTAAATTGGAGTAGTGCTATCTGCAAAAAAATGACTAAGTCCATCAGCAAACAGCCAAATTTCAAAATAATCAGGGAAAGAACGGTAATGAAAGGATAAAAAAAAAAAACCTTTAACCAGTATTCTTCCATTGCCAGCTCCTGAGCTCTGTACAATGTTAACATTAGAGTCAGCAAACAAGCCAGGGAGAATATTTTCAATTCCAATTGAACTGGTTTGATCCACATACGAGGCACAGCGGTACTGGAATTCTTCAGCGGTAATAGAAATGTAATAAATGACAACATATTTTCAACTGCTGTGCCACTTATTTTGAATTTTTATATAGTTGTCAGAGTCTCGAGGAAGATTAAAAGCCGCTTTAAAGGCAACCCTCTGATCGTCTGACCAAGAATTTGTCTAAGGAACACGCTGCATTTGCCTATCGTACTAAGTTTTTTGAAAGGTTGTCGGCCATAAATTTTGTTGTCTTTTTGCAATCTATAGGAATGTTTATTGCCTAATCTCTCTTGAGAATTTATTTAAATACACAAATTTCTCAATTATGTAAAAGTTTTCTCTACATATTGTTGAAGATATGTAATATGATACTATAGAAAGATTTGATATTGTAAATATTAGGAAAGATTAGATTTGATTGATTATAGTATCATATATTAATTAGGTAATAAATTAATTTAGATTAGCATTATTTTAGAATCTAAATTAGGTTACACTTGTGTATAAATATATTTGTATATTGTGTAGTCCAAAGATATATGAAGAAGAGTATTTTCTCACCCTTTTTCTTAGTTTTACATGGTATCAGAGTTTCAGGCTCTGTTATTAGCTTGTCTTTTAACGTGACTCTATTGAGTCACTTTTAGGTTTTTCTTGTGTGAATATCTTTTATCAGTTTGTCTTTTGACGTAACCCTATTGAGTCACTTTTAGGTCTTTCTTGTGTGAATTATAATGGCAGATATGAAAGGTAGTAGTAGAGAGATGAAAACAGTAATTTCTGATGTTATTCCTACAACATCAAAAATTACTGAACACAAATTGAGTGGAAAAATTTTTTTGAATTGGAGTAAAACTATTCGGATATATCTGCGCAGTATCGATAGAGGTGATCATCTCACTGATGATCCACCCGTTGATGGGGAAGAAAAGACGGTTTGGCTAAGGGAAGATGCAAAACTATTTTTGGACCAGTCATGTGAGAACTGGAGAACAGTTAGCTGATATTTTCACTAAGCCTCTAAATGGTCCGAGAATTGATTACATTTGTGGCAAGATGGGCATGATTAACATCTATGCTCCATCTTGAGGGGGAGTGTTGAAGATATGTAATATGATATTATGGAAAGATTTGATATTGTAAATATTAGGAAAGATTAGATTTGATTGATTATAGTATCATATGATTATAGTATCATGTGATTATAGTATCATATATTAACTAGGTAATAAATTGATTTAGATTAGCATTATTTTAGGATCTAAATTAGGTTACACTTGTGTATATATATTTGTATATTGTGTAGTCCAAAAATATATGAAGAAGAGTATTTTCTCTCCCTTTTTTTTAGTTTACACATATAATGATGATGGTACTTCTGGTATTGTATGAATACATCATCAATTTTTGGGCCTTCTACTTCCAAAGGAGAGTGGGTATTTTCAAGAAGTCAATGGAATGGTAATTTTCTATATGTTATTTGAGAGTGACTATGCCCCTAAAGATTTGTATTTGCATAAACCATGAATTCTACTGGAATCAAGTTGTACCTCAAAATATTCATTGACTGATTCTTTCGAGAGTTCAAACTCTTTGGAAGCTAATTCTTCAATCTCAGTGACAATGGTATCGGAAGAAACACCATTAACTGTAGTGAGAGCAGGGGGCCTAGATGTACGCTCGTCTTTTGATTCAATATAAGGCTTGGCCAATACTGGAACATCATCATTGGAATTAAACCCAACAGCAGTTATTTCTTGTTTCTGAGGTAGGCTAGGTGGAGATTTGCTACCTGCAAAAGATGACTAAGTTTGTCATCAAATGGCTAAATTTCAAATAAACCGGGAAAGAAAGGAAAGAAAAAGGAAGAAAAACCTTTGACCAACATTCTCTTGTTGCCCGCTCCTGAACTCTGTGCAATGTTAACTTTTGAGTCAGCAAAAAGCCAAAGAGAGTATTTTCAATATCACTCGACAATTTTGATGAATCTAAGAGGCCTAGCACTTCTGGAAGTCTTCAGAGGTAATAGAAATGGATTAAAAGCCAACACATTAAAAACTCCGGTGACCCTGAGTTTGGAATTTCATATAGTGGCCATCAGTAACTGAGAAAGTTTGAAAACTACCCTCAAGGCTTTCTTTTAATCAGTTAGCCAAGAATCCATTGGGAATACTCTGCATCAGGCCAACATATAATTTGGCACTAATTGCTATGGGTTTGAAATCATTGACCGATAAAGCACAAACAATGAGAGATAGATTGCACGTGGCATATAAAATGGTTTATGAAGTACCCTCCACAAACTTGCCTATTGTGCAAAGTTCATTGAAAGGTTATCTCCCACCGATTTTTTGTCTAGAAACACAGAGAATTAGTGCATTAAATATACATATTACTCAATTATGTAAGAAAGTCTCTAACATACACTGGTGATGGTATACTTCTGTCACTGGTGAATAATTATCCATGTTTTGGGCCTTCTGTTTTCAGTGCCGAACTCTCTTTTGCATGGCAAACCCTACGTAGAAAGGGTCTGAAGGGGTGAAGTTCTCGTGCTTTATCCTAAAGGTTAAACACTTCTTGTAACTAGGTTTATTGAATCGTGGCCTAGCCATAAAAACCAAGAAATCAGGGGATAATTATTTTTAATTTGTTACTTGAGTGAATATTCCCCCTGAAATGTATTGGGATAAAGCATAAAATTTAGTGGAATAAAGTTGTACCTCAGAAAATTCATTGACGACTACTTTTGAGAGTCCAACCTTTTTCGAAGCATTTTCATCATTGAAAACACTATAGGTGTCGGAAGAAACACCACCTACAACAGTTGGAGTGGGCAGCTTGGCCATAACCTCGTCTTTGGATTTAATAGAAGGCTTATCATCGTTAGAATCATATCCAATCGCAGTTATTTCTTGCTGCTGAGGTGGGTTAGGCAGAGATGCGCTATCTACAAAAAATGACTAAGTTCATCAGCAAAAGGCTCAATTTGCAACTAACAGGGAAAAAAGAAAGGAAATGGAAAGAACCTTGGACCAACATTCTCTCGTTGCCAGCTCCTGCGCTCTACACAATGTTAACATTAGAGTCAGCAAAGATTAGAATCCTTTCATCATCAACTGACCTAGTTTGATTGATGTAGAAGGCCCAACAATGCTTGATATTTTTCAATGGCTATAGACTTAGAATTAAAAACAACACATTTACAGCTGTGGAGCCAATACCAACTAAGTTGAAGTTTCATATTGTCGTCAAAATCTGGAGGAAGATTAGAAACTATGTTAAAGGCTTTGTCGTAATTGGTTGACCAAGAATACTCTGCATCTGGTGAAATTGAGCACAACAAAATTAATTCAGCACTAATTGCTAAAGGTGTATCTCATTGACCGAGAGAGTACAAACACTGAAGAAAGATGGTAGGTAGCAGACATAATAGTCGAACAAGATGACAACATAAGCTTGCCTATTGTACCGAGTTCTTTGAAAGTTCATCATTCTTATATATCTCATTTTCTTTTCACAATGTATAAGAATGCCTATTGTCAAGACAATCTGAAGATTAGTGTATTGGGTGTACAAATTGCTCAATTAACACATTGTGATGATGGTCTATAACCGTCATTGGAGAGTACAGCATGGACCATTGGGCATTATATTTCAAGAGAACGTGGGATTGAAAGCTTTATAAAACGTCCGTGGTAAATTGTTACTTGGCATAGCCGTTGTTACCAAGAGATCAAGGATATGGTTATTTTGTATTTGTTACTTGAATGAAGAATATTTCCCTGAAGATTGGTTTTGTAATAAAGCATAAATTTGCTGGAATAAAATTATGTCTCAGAAAATTCGTTGGCTACTTTTGAGAGTTTATTTTCTTTAGAACCTCTTTCTTCTATCTCAATACCATTGGTCTGTTGGCAGAGTGGGTACCTTGGATTTATCCTCATCTTTTGATTCAACGGAAGGGTTGGCTGATACTCGAAGATCATCATTAGAATTAGATGCAACTGCAATTTTTTCTTGATGCTGAGGTGGGCTAGGCGAAGATGCGCTACCTGCTAAAATGACCAAGTTCTCCAGCAAACGGCTAAATTTCAAATAAACAGGGAAAGAAAGGAAAGGTAAAGATAAAAACCTTTGGAAAACATTCTGTCACTGCCTGCTTCTGCTTTCTGCAGAATGTTAACATTAGAGTCAGCAAAGAAGGCAGGAAAAACTTTTTATATCAACTAACCAGGTTTGATCGATGTACAATGACCAAAAAAAAAATATGCTGGAATTCTTTAGTGGCAAATGGCAATAGCAATGGAACAAAAGGCTACTTATGTAAAACTCTGGAGCCATCAATTTTAATGTTTCATTTAGTTGTCAAAATCTCAAGAAAGAATAAAAACTACCCTAAAGGCTTTGCACAATCAATTGACCAAGAAGCAATCTGGTGAAAACTCTGCATTAGGCTAATTTGAGCACAAGTGCGACAGTCACTGATAAAACGCCAACCCGATAAGAAAGTTGATAGGTGGCAGATATGTTTAACAAGTAATCAAGGCCACTGCATAAACTTGCAGCTTTTTGAAAGTTTATGTTCCTCTAATTTCTTTTGATTTTCTCAATCTGCAAGAATTCTTAATTTTTAGACATTCTGGTAAAATGACTATTGACTATACAGTGATGATAGTATACTTCTGGCATTTGTCAACCCAGCTCACATATTTTGTCAATCTATTTTTGGAGGAGAATGAGGACGGGCAGTTATCAAATTTACAAACTTCTAAAGTGATTATTTGCAATTTTGACAGGAAATTTTGCATGACTCGATCTAATTTATTTTACTTTGTTTCCTCTGATGACATTTATCAAGCATTAGGCGGAAAAAAGCAGAAAGAAGTTCCACATAAGAGTTCAGTTATTTTCTCAAAATTTGCCCGTCTTTATCCCTTTCTTTAGCTGTATAACATTTTAAGATTAAATCCTAGTATAAACAGTTTGAAAGTGTTGATGGTGGGGTGAAGTTGTTGTTCTGGTAATCTCGTTGTATCCTAGTTGATCTCTATTAGACCATGGCCTAGTTATCATGAACAGGAAATCAAAGCAATAATCAATGTCTAGTAGCTACTTGAGTCAAAAGGTTTGTGCTGGACCATTGCATTGGTATAAAATTATACCTCAAAAAATTTGTCTGTTGATTTTTTTTTTTTCAGAGTTTTACCTCTTTGAAACCTCCTTCATTAATCACAATGCGACGGCTGCGGGAAGAAAGGCCATCAACCACAGTTTGAGTGGATAGCTTGTCTTTGCCTTTATCTTTTGATTCAATTGAAGGCTTGGGTGATGCTGGAACATCATCAGTAGAATTAGATCCAATAGCAGTTGTTTCTTGCTGTTGAGGTGGCTTAGGCGGAGAAGCGCTATCTGCAAAAAAATGACTAAGTTCATCACTAATGGGCATAATTTCAGATGAACTGGAAAAGAAAGGAAAGGAAAAGGACAGAACCTTTGACCAATATTTCCGCATTGCGAACTCCAGCACTCTGCACAATGTTAACATCAGAGTCAGCCAAAAAGCAAGGAGAAATATGTTTAATATCAATCGACCTGATACAATCGATGTACCAGGCCCGGAAGTGCTGGAACTCTTTAGTTGCGTCTAGTAAGATTAAAAACTGACTTTTGCATAATTGAAGTTTCTTGCTTCTGATGGAATGCATCCAGCATAAGAGGAAAACAGTGACAAACTTCCAATCGAGTTCTCTCAAAATTTGCTATGTTTTTAGCCCTTTCTTCTGGGATCTCTAGAACTTTATTTTACCCAAGAACTTTTTTATTCATTATCCTGATGGTTATAGGTTTGTTGTAACTTGGTCTCTATGGAATTATGGCCTGATCATTGTAGTCCAGATGGGAACAGGAGTTCTCCATTTGTTACTCGAATGCATATTCCCCATTCTGGGGCTGTTTAACACTCAGGGAAGGTGTGGGTTGGGTGGTTCGGGGAGGAAGTGTAAGTAAAAAGTTCCAAATTCAAGTCATTCCATTTCCACTAAAAAGGAAAAAAGAAGAAGAGCCATTTAACACTCAAATACACTAGATAAAATGTCTCTATTTGCTTTATCCATTAATTTGTCTCACAATTTTAACATCTTATTGACCCCAGGAAAAGGTGATAATGCCAGCTAGATTTGTTTGTAATGATAGAGTGCCTAGAATCTGCGAGGAAAGTCTATTAATCTCATGAAGCACAGAACCAGTTTTTGCATCTGGTTTTACTGCTGAAGCAAATAGGTTTTGAGCTTTTTCTTGTCTACTAGTAATAAAGCACGTGATTGTACTATCCCAAAACATAACATTTTGGTCTTAACTATCTTTGTGAAATTCTGATTGTCAATATCATAATATAATTTGTTTTTCTTTTTCATTTTAAGATTTGTTTATGATAACGTTATTTACATTGAAGTCATATATCTAAAGTTTTCCAAACATTTTTTTAAAACTGTTTAAATAGCTTATGCTTAAACTCTGGGCTACTCATTTTGATACTATCGTATTTAACCAAAATTACAATCAACTTATAATATTTATTACACTTAAATAATAATATTACAGTTTGTTTATCACAAAACACTGTTGTTAAGCGTGAAAAAGTAAATTATGGCATCCAGCATAGGAGAAGCAAATAGAATTTACATATATTTGATAAGGTAAATGTTTTAACTTATAACATCGATTTTCTGAAGGATAATGAAATAAACAAATTGGTTTGTTTTATGGGATAATTTCATAAACCTCCCTTGAAGTTTCTAACAATTACAACTACCTCTCTTAAGGTTTGAAAAATTACACTTACCTCCCTTGGTATTTTGAAAAGACTATAATAGCGTTGACAACTCTACAAATCCTAAGTAAAAAGTGGGTGTAAAGGAAAAAGAAGACCACATTTTGCAAACATTTATGTATCCAAAAGTTCTAATCTCGTCTCGCCTAATACATTATTCAATTCCTAGGTCATTTAATTTGACTTCTTGCTTAGTTTTATAAATAACGGACTAGTAGGGATGCATTTGTTAAAAATAGTTTCTTCATAACTTACTTAGCAAAGAAAAAATGAAATCCAAACATTAAAAAAATGATGCCTTGAAATATGGCCAAAATTTTGTTGCAAAGAACTATCTTAAAATTTTTACTTAGCAACTAATATTGATATTTAATTTCTTTTGCCATTTAATTTGTTTTGTAAATCAAATAGGGCCAGTATAGGATATTCATTAGATTTTTTGTGCTTACATCACAATTTGTTACCAAAACATACTTTTTAGGAGAGGTTTTTATAATTTTTCAAACTTTAAGGGAGGTGGCTGCAATAGCTACAAACCTCAAGGGAGGCTTCTGAAATTATCCCTTTTTTTTATTCTGTAATTCTAAGTCATTTTGTTATGCTATGTGTTCACCCCCTCCACCTAATCCATCTTTGGACGAAATTGTTCATCATCCAGGGTCCAATTATGCTTTCTTTGAGATAGAAGTAAAATCAATGGTGGAAATTTCAATAAAATCATCGAAATTTTAGCAATAAGAAAGGATGGAATTTGACCAAAGTACTAAAAATTTTGAGATATATTTCAATAATTGAATGGCATGTACAAGATTATATCTTTAATTACTTCTTTTGCATTTCTTATCATTTATTTTTTGTTATGCTAATATAAACAAATTGTAATAGGAAAATTCGAATATGAAAGTGGCTTTTGTTTTTTGTTAGTTTGACTTGGGAGAGTAGAACTTTCATACCAAGTAAAACTTAAATTTATGCATAGATATTGTTTGCATGCTCTACTATTATTATTTTGCACGTTGTATGTGTTGAATTTGTTACTGTTTTGATGAAGTTGATAATTTGAAGTGAGATGTCCCCTTTTTTAATTAAAATGAATGTATATCCTTTGAATATGAACTCTTTGTTATCTTTTTAGTGTTATTCCAGTTAATGATGAGTTGTAAATAATCTACTACTCCTAATTGTCTCTAGCTGGTTGTACATTCTCACAATTAAAATTTTTTTGGCAGAGATAGTTTTCATTTTTTTTCTTTTCTTTTTTTCTATTTGCATTTGCATTTTTCTTTTGTTTCATAATTAAATGTGTAATTCATTCTTTTTTATAAATTTTGTTTGTACTTTTGTTTTCATAATAGTATTATCATATTTTTTGACCAACAGTACGTGGATAGGTAAAGCGTTTTGTGTAGGAAGATTTCTATGTTTGTTACCATCATAATGCAAATGCAACTAGGGTTGTTTAATAGTTACCCTATAAATGAAGTATAGTGGGGTGCAGCATACATAATAAACCAAGAGGGAACAACAAGAATACATTGTGCTCTTAGTGGCCAAAAGAACGTTATTAGATTTCTCCCTGCAATTAGGTTTAGAATTCAAATTCTAAACCTGACAATTGGAGATAGGATGGATGTAAAGAAGGGGGGGGGGGGAAGGTTAAAAAAAACAAGAATAAAACAACATTGTGCTCATACTCTAAGATCCTTTGATAATCCAATTCAGCAGTTGAATTTAATGAATTCTGATCTTAATATATTCAGACGCGTGTGATAACCAACACTAGAAGCTCTGAATTCATTAAGTGGCACTGAATTTCCTAGGCCAAATTTGCTCCAAAAAATAAGTGACAACCTATTCACTTATCAATTAATGTGATATACATTCAAATGCATCAAAATTAGTACTTAACAATTCATTAATTTAATGAATTCAGATTTTAACTTTCAAATTTTAATTTTATCAAATGCACCCTTACCAGAGGGACTTTTAATATAGGATTACTAATAATATAATACAATATAGCAATAGATAGGTAGATCTGAGAAGCTATGTCTAAGAGCAGAGGTTATCAATTGAATGCTTTTCTATCTGTTGGGCCAAAGAATGAATCAATTGCCTACTAGGGCAACATAAATTAGGGATCTGAAGAGAGAAAGATGTGGATCGGGTAAAAGAAAAAATATCAAGGGATTGCGAAGGATATCAATAAAAGCAAAGTCAACAAAACATGGACCCCAGTCAACTGCATTGAATTCGGAGGATATAATAGTTAAATTCATAAGACTTGAGAAATTAAGGACAGATCTAAAAAGTACCATAAAATTTAAAATCATTCCATGTAGAATAAATCGCTAAAACTCACTCTGTGCATGCTGTAATCATCAGATCTGCTAATCAATAGTTGTAAGGTCCAATAAAGATAATGAGATCTACCGAGATAGATCCAAATCTGAAATAAATTCATCCATAGATATTTGTGAATGTCTATTCCCTCAGATCTGCTATCCAACTGGTTCAAGTTCAAAACTGATGTTGAGATCTGATGAGAAGACTCGAGAAGTTTTAGATCTAACATATAGATTTAAAAAAACTCCAAAATCTGAGAAAATAAATAACAAAACTAAAGAAAACTCTCACTAATATAGTTTCGGAGAGAAGAAAACTCACACTAGGATACCCTAGGAAAGACGAAAACTCCCACTAGGATACCCTAAGGGAGACTTTATTAAATGAAAGTAAGAACAAAGAACAAAGGAAGAGGAAGGGAGACCTTGGCTTAAGGCCAAGATCTCCCTCCTATGAAGGAAGAAGAGTAGAGAGAAGGAAGAGAAGAATTCTAGAGAGAAGGAAGAGAGGAAATAATCCCTAGTTCTATTTCTCAAGTCTTGTGTATTTGTTAAATTGCAGATCTATAATTTTAGTATATGTTTTATCTGCCATTACGGCAGCAATGTATATCAATTGTGCTTGATGATTTCCAGTAATCTGTTATTGAAATATGTTTTCTTATAAAAAAAATAATTTTGCAAGATCGAGATATTTTGTGATTTAACAATCTTTCAAATAAATGCTTGGTTAAATAATTAATATTCTCAAGTTAGTCTACTTGTTTAATTCTTGTTTTAGATTTTAGTTTTCAGTTTGTTTTAAGAGAAAAATGTTATTCATTTTGTAACTTACATCTGTCAAATGTAATTATATTTTTAATTAGATATTTGTTCCACAATCCTACCGAGTATGTTAAAACTAAACAATCAAAATAACTGAGCTTCATTTTTGTTAAAAGTCATACACTAAAGATTTAGATGTCAAGGTACAGGTCATATCCACTTATAAGTAAGGATATTAAAAGATAGTTTCTTGTAGTTTTTTTTCTTTGTTGCTTAAAAAGTACAGCTAGATATTTTACCCAAATTCAATCTAGATTCAATGTCGTTACCAACTTCAATCTACTAAATGCCTATTTCGTAATTTTATTCGATGCATTGATTACTG